GTCCCGAGGCTCACAAAGCTTCGTTACCAAGCACACGGTAAATATCAGCGTGCATCCCTATCACCTATCATCTCCTTGAACATATCTCTATCAGCAAAGGCTCGGATATTTTCTGCTAAATAGTCCGCACAGGCCAATATCACACGATCGTGGGCTGGGTACTACCATAAAAGTGATACACCACAAGTACTGTCGAACTTAATAAAGAGAAGCACGCCTACCTTATGCCGGGAGAATCCGATAGCCAGCGAAGTTACTAACTGCAAACTCAATCCTGGCATGAGTGATGACCCATCAGGCTGGAGCACCAACGTCGAGACCTAAGAGCAAACCGCCTTGAAACATGCGAATAGTCAGGGACATCATCATCACAAGAACAACGTGCCAAGAGACTACTCCAAAAACGTAATCGAGGCGGATGTCGCGCAAGTCTCAGAATATCGAGCGACCCTCTTCACATGCGCCATGCACACTAGAGCCGTGATGTTACACCCAACCGAGCGTTTATGCCGATATTGATCGCGATAGTTGACCTTGCTATAACATTCCCTGATCACTAGGCTGCCAATTCCGCGGCCTCACCTTCTCAAAAAAAGGCGGATGCACATTTTCCAGCCGTCCATACGCCCGCAAGCCCAGCGTTATTTCCTCCATCGTCAAAGTCGGAGTTCTGGAAACCTACGCACCGGCATCACCCCTGACGGACTGGATTACTTACCGCTAACGCAAGACTGGCGTAGAACTTGTGAGCTCGAATGAAGCCCATCCATTGAAGACCGCCAGCAATCTCTAGCATAGTATGGATGGAATCCACATTGAGATTGGGCTTATACAACGTTCGAAGCAGCTTCCCACAGAGAGCTGACAACAACGGTCGCAGTGATGTGGCCACACTCTGAACGGCTCTGGAATTATAAGGTAGACTGCATATGCATGCGGGAGTTAGCGCAAGACAAAGTCTCAGAATGCCGGTTATGCTATCGAACGGCTCTGAGCCGAAATCACGATCCAATCGCGAGTGAATCTTTCGTCTCGGAGGAATATGTTGCACCTCGATTGCGAAGAAAATACCGAAGAAGGTGAACCCCATCTTGAGACTTTCGCCGCGATATCAGATGATCAACGCCTAGTTATTGCATAAATTCTCAATCATCCGATGTAGTCTAGCTGGTTAGGATTCGTGGCTCTCACCCACGCGACCGGGGTTCGAGTCCCCGCATCGGAACTTCTTCGTCCCCTCGGAATTTTTGAACCAATGCTTCCTATCAACAGGGTCCACTAGAAATTTCATTGATTTTACTCAACTTCCCGCGCTACTACCAAACTGTCGATGCCCTAGGGACTGCAGTGATCCGAGCACGTCGGCTATCGCACGCGTATCCAGATTCTCAGCATATTCGCCAATATCCCGCAGCAGCAGTTTATACCGTGGATCTTTCGTAAGGTCGTTCACAAGCACTGAAAGAAATAACGCTCATCACAGGCAGTACTGATGAATTCGAGGGTCCAACACTATCGTGTCAACAAAACCCCCGAGACGGTATTCGCACAATCAGGACTGTGAGGTCGATTAATCACAAACAACGAAAACGTCCCGTGGTCTGTCCTGCTAGATCCCACCCGTATGCCCTACTATTTTTCCTCGTCTGTTTTTCCTCGACTGGAGCCCTCAGCACTTGATCCATCAAATAACGACCTTCCTTGGTCACATCTACGAGATCGGCGGCTTCGTCATCAACGGTATTGGCCAGCATCTGCCAGACCATATCGAAAAGTGCGTCGTCTCCAACGACACACACACAACACCACAAAGTAGTACTCGTCTCTCCGGACCACAGCGTAACCAAGTCACTTCAATACCTCTATACCTCCCAAAGGCCTTTAAGGCCACTAAAGGGTCCGAAGTCCTCCTCTCAACTAGGCACATGGAAGCCGAAATTTCGCGTACACTTGGAGACTCGAAATAGTCGCTATTTCATGTACCATAAGCAGACGCATCATCTCAACGCCTAAGTGCCCTCTGCCCCGGAACAATACCTCAACTGCCGTGACGAGATTCTGCACAAACATGACACCTCTGTGGGTGATAATGGCCGTTAGTATCTCTTCCGTTGTCTTTAACTTCCTCAGCTTAGCATCCATCTGTTGGCAAATAGGATTGAGGTATCTGAAGCCCGCAAAGAGGTCAGATACACTTCCGATCACGTGTCCGCATATTCCCATAGTCACACTCTATCTCACATGGAGCGAAACGCCAGGCAATCCCACTAGACAGCCCTACAAGAAACAATAGTGGCATAAGGAGAGACGTACACACTACGAAACACACCAACCGGCAGAACATTTCATCGATGGCATTTCCTTAACCGTGAAGGCATAAACCTACACTTGAACCGGTGGTGGTGGAGATGAGACTTTCTCCTCGCTCTCAAGTCCATGACCGAGCCCCTGCTGATGATGGACCCTCGCAGCAGTAGCTGTCGCACAGGAACGTGTCTTCTTGAGCAGGCTTGATGCCCACTGACGCCTCGGCCGTAAACCAAGCAGCATTTAATGAAGGCACTAATAAGGGAGCTAAGGTTGATTTAGGACTAGCGAGTACCACACCGCGCCTTCACTCCTGGTGCAATATGTTTCATTGCATTGAGAGAACACCGAATAAATGGAATCACAAGATTTTAACCGACACACTCTATCACAGAACGATTGATGGACTTGACGGCCAGTAACGGCGCCTTGAAGACAGTAACCAGCATACAACTGACCAAGAGTGCCAGTCGGATCCCGCGAAGAGTGATCCTCCTCTAGCAGACCGTTTCCGATACGATAACACGCACTGAGAGTGGCACTCATAGAGTGACACTATTTCCACACAAAGTAAAACTACTTCGCTCAAGGGTAAGAATCTGTACCGTAACGATCTCAACCACTTCCAAGCGGAGTCATATGGAGTCTCTTTACTCCAAAGTTTGCCGTTGAGAGACTCTCCAGCATCAGTTTGCAGGTATCAGTGTAACTGGTTACCAATTTTTGGGTCACTATAATCGACGACCAGCTACACTGCTACCGCAAAAAGTCCAGTTCATGCCAAAAAGTTGTTTGTTATTTGTAGAGTTCCACCAACCTTTTATAATGTGACATTCTCATTCACGCGGGGTCTACATTCCGCCACATCCTCCCAAACCCCCGCCGAAACCCAGCCAGTTGAGACTGCTATCGACTACATTAGAAACGCGCATTGATGCCACTCGAATTGAACAACACTACAGCTCCCGCTGGACGTTGGTAAGGCGATTCAGTAGCGTAGGAAAAGGAGTACTACTAATCTCAAGTCGTCATATGGCCACTAGGGAGTACCATTCTTTACCATCTTCCCTTACCCTTGCCCTTGCCGGAATGCCCCTTGCCCTTACCAGAGCCCTTGCCTAAACAAGACCTTTAGAACACCAACAAGAAGCGTGTTAACTCCTACCCTTGCCGAAGCCCTTGCCCTTTCCTCCTTTACCCTTGCCTCCTTTACCCTTGCCGCCCTTACCCTTGCCGCCAGCGGCGTGTTCTGATAAAACCAAAATTACTCAGACCAACTCTGTTACCTCAATGACTTACTCTTAGGACCGATACTCTTCTTCACAGGGAGGAACCGTTCCAAGGGAAGAGTCTGGTTGCCGTCGATGTAAACCTGCACGATGTTCGATTTTGCACGCATGCACATCCACTTCACTTGCCTTTTGACCCTTCTTGAAGCTCTTAGCGACCACTCCCTCTTGCATCTTCACAGAGAAGTAGAACTCATTGATGGGTCCGAGAATCTCATCGACCTGCCCGATTTGGCTCTTGTTCTCGAGGAACACACGGCCGTTGAAGTAGGGCACCTTAGTGTGAGTACCTACACCACGAAGTGGAACAGGCGTGGTATAACAACGAGAATATTACACTTGCAGACCATCTCATCCTCACAGACATGAATCATCTCACCAAGCTCTTCTACCCACTCCGGGGGGCCCAGCGGGGCGCGATGGCCCTTACCTGATGTGACAAACCAATACAAAAGGAACCACGCGTCCAAGACCACCAAACAGCATCCAGAAGCTGCAGTACAAAGACCCCTTTAATATCAACCCTTATAGGCCTCTAAGGCGTAGATTTCGGAGTTATCGAATACTGATAGCTTTTTCATGTGCCCAACTAGACGCAAGGCGAAGAAGTGAAATATGAATGTCTATGCGTAGATTTCATAATTGAAATATCCCCAAATTCTTGTTGACCTTTCGAGGGACCTCCTTAAGGCCGTATACTCCCTCGAAATCGATTACTCACGTATGAGATCCCCATACCAAAACTTCACGAAATCTAAACCCCCAAAGGCTTCTCAAACACGCGATCAACTTTCAACTCTCAATGCGACACTCCATCATTCCTCTTCCGAAGCCTTCTGATCACCTTTGCCTTTTCCACCTTTTCCACCCTTTCCTTTGCCGAATCCACCTTTCATTGTGATAGTAGCTCGCTGAATCAACAACTGCGGGGGCGAAAAAGAACAATTGAGAAAATCCAAGACTTCTCAAGTGCGCAAGATTGTCCTGAAATTTTCTTCTCATCACTAATGCAACCACCGGTCAGCTTTAATTGATTTGAATTGGTCGCCAAATATTAATTTCGCATCGTGTTTATTATATTCATTTCCTCTGTACG